CCGCCAGCCCGCCAGTACCTGTCGGGCTGGGGTCCCAAGTGAGAATATAAGCCCACACCGTAGACCGGGCGGCAGTTGGGCCGCACGGTTGATAAATTTCATCTGCAGCGTTCATTGCGTTACTGGCCCTTGAAACTCGCGGGACCTCGCCCGCAGCGGGTGTATGGCAAAGGTGGTGGTCCTTTTTGAGAGAAAAAAAAAACAATCAATGCTTAAATAAACGCGATCATTAAAGAAAAGTGATCGCCCCAGTGAAAAGCTGAAAACCGCATAGGCTACGAAAAATGGCAATGCAGAAAGGAAACATCAAAAAAAGGGGAAAAAAAAACTGCAGATCCATTACCTTTGGGAGTCGGTGGATGCTCGAACCATTGTGATAAACTTAGCTTTGCATTGTGGCAATTTAAAGATAATAATCTGATGTCCAATATACTAATAAAGAAAAAGGTAGTTACGTAGCTTAACGCGATAATCTACGATATTTAAATTTTACCACATCATCTAATCAAATTTGTCAGAAATTAAAATCCCAACGTCTAAGGTAGTTATGCGGAAAAGTTGGAAAGAGGGAAATGCTGCCAATCCGCTATTTGTACTGGATTGAGCGATAAATAAGCAGCATAAGGGAAGAGTGCCCTAAGGGGAAGATCAATTCAGCAGAAACCAAACCTACAAGGTTGATGTAGGCGCTATTTGTACTGTAACTAGTGAGGAGGCAGTTGCTGTCTATCGCGATGGGAATGCAGACCCCCTTCTTGTCACTAAGGCATAGCTACAAAACGGGGGTACATGGCCTCTCCGCATGCTCATGCCCATCACTAATGCACATCCTCCTATCATCCGTAAGCGAGACGAGCCGACAAAACTCAGGTGTGTGGTGTCTTCACACTGAAGACTCAGCTGCATGGCCTCTCGTCACGGTCATTGCCTACTTGCCGATGCCCCTTCAGCTGGTGGGTCCTCACCGCCATTGTCATTGTCTGGTCTTGGGACCGGCGCTGGCGCATCCTCCTCTCATCCACAAGTAAGACGCACTGACAAGGCTTAGGTGTGTAGTGTCCTCACCACGGAAAACTCAGCTGCATCACCCTGCATGGGGTGTTGTCACAGTCATTGCCTACGGTGGCGGGTCCTCACCGCCATTGTCATTGTCTGGTCTTGGGACCGGGGCTGGCACGCCCTCCTCTTGTATGTAACCAAGACCTATGGACAAAACTCCAGTGTGTGGGTTCCCTCAACATGGAAAACTCAGCTGCATAGCGTCTCATAACGGTCATTGCCTACGGCAGACGACCTTCCAGGCGGTGCATCACCACCGCCATTGTCATTGTCTGGTCTTAGAACAGGGGCTTGCACGTCCTCCTCTCCTCTGTAAGCAAGATGTACCGCCAAAACTCAGGTGGACGGACGTCGGGAGGCGGCGTTGCTCAGGTATGTGGGTCCCCTCAACATGGAAAACTCAGCTGCATGCGTCTCGTAACGGTCATTGCCTACGGCAGACGCCCCTCCAGGCGGTGCATCTCCACCGCCATTGTCATTGTCTAGTCTTAGAACCGGGGCTCACACGTCCTCCTCTCCTCTGTAAGCAAGACGTACCACCAAAACTCAGGTGGAGGGATGTCGGGCATGAGGCAACGGCGATGACACTACCCCACGCAGCTGAGTTTTCCGTGTGGTGGGGACCTCACACCTGATGTAGGAGGGACCACTGAACTCATCAGACCTCACACATCCTCCTCTCCTCTGCAAGCAAGACGTAACCACAAAAGTCAGGTGTGTGGTCCCCTCGACACGGAAAACTCAGCTGCGGGGGGTAGTGTCATGGTCATCGCCGCCTCCTGATGTCGCTCCAAGTGGAGGTGGTGCATCCTCGTTGCCATTGTCATTGTCTGGTCTTGGAACTGGGGTTCGCACAGCCTTGGCCCATGGGATCCAGACGGATGTCATTCGCTGATACCTCCTGTAGGCATCTGCCCTTCGTTTGTCTCGCAACATCCGTTTCTCAACCATTGCTGTAACACAAGCCATGCACAGGGAGTTCATCGTCACGCCGACGGCCACCCAACTCTTTCCAATAGCACAGCCAAAAGCACTCATGCCCAGCCAAAATAGCTGTTCCCCGAAGTAATTGGGGTGCCGGGAGTAGTACCACAGCCCTGAGTTGAGCACTAATCGCATCCGCATCTTCGCTGCTCGTCTCCGGTCGTTGGCCTTCATAAACTCGTGCAGTTGTGCGTCAGCGATGTACGCAATCGTAACGCCGATGACGCATGCAATCGCAGCGGCTATGTCAAGAAGATTCAACGGTTCCGCCGAAGAAAACACAGCATAGATTGGAAGGCATAAACCCACCAAGAGGACCTGAAGAGCCAAACAAACCACCAACCTTTTAGCCAAAGAGATTCTTTTTTCCCAATCCTTCCATAAAACATAAAAACCCTGCCAACCTTTTATCCAAGCGGCGTTGGCAATCTTTCCATTCTTAAACCACGAGTCCCATGCCCACACATCTGCCGCAGGCCCCTCGCCGCGACTTTCCGAGGCCAGCAACGCGACAACGGTCGTCGCTTAATTACCAACGACACCCCGGCCCCGAAAGTTGCGACCATTATCTGCGAGCCGCATCTCTGAAAATTGCTGGGAAAGGTACGCAGTTTAAACTTGTTTTGACTGTGGTGGTTCACGAGAGTGCACGCAAGCAAAACAAGTTTAAAGTTTAAACAACCACCACCTTACGTCTAGTACTTGCAAAATTACAAGAGACAGTTTATCACACACAGCTCTTTTCAGTTCTGCCCTCTTTCATGATTGCTGTGTTATGCATGCTAGATGAAAACCTAGATCTTATTCTTTTGTGTGTGTTCTTCAAAAGTGTTTTAGACTTTTAGTGAAATTTAATGAATTTTAAGTTTTAACCCCTTTTTCTAAGTTTTTTATTAAATTTTTAAGGTTTTTTTTCTTTTTTCTTTTTTTTTTCTGGTTTCAACTTTCAAGTAACAATTGCCTTTTTTCAGCGTTCATTACGCACATCTATTGAAATTAGAATTGGATGAGTGCGGACCTCATCAGTATTTCCATAGATTCTTGTGTCCGGTAGCAAACCTTTCCAACTCCAGCGAAGGAACTGTTGAAATATACAGACCTGAGTTCGAATCCAGATGATGCAACTAGATGTGAATGAAATCGAACGTTTCTGAATTGCTTGCGGCTGGTCAGTTTAATTATCTCAATGATAACGATATCTCAAGCCGACCACCGGCACCACTACCGCCGCTGGGCCTCTTCTTGCAGGGAGGCGGAAAACAACTGCGGGCCAAGCTTTGCCGAGACGCCAGTGCAACTTTTTCTTTTTCTGTTTTGCCCGTTGCCGCCAGACGTTTTGCTCCGGCGGGCCCCACCCTCCAAAGAATGCAGTATAGGTTAATACCGCTTTCTTAGGAGGTTTCGAGTTTGCCTGTGAAATGAAGTGGTAGTTATATCACATGCTTTTTTCTTTTCTTTTCTCTTTTTTTTTTCTCAGAAGGTCCAGGGTGTAGTAGAGGTTGGTGGGCAGGCCTCAGGAGGTACCCATATTACTCATCCACCGGGAGGTCAGATGGGGTGCAGAGACCCACCCATGGGGGAGTCACCTCAAGATGGCACAATGATGGTACCATGACCCCTATGTTAATGCTCTCATCAGATCGCAAGTCGTGATCTGTGCCGACGCTTACCTTACTAACCAGAACATCTTCGTGCAGATACTACCCGCCCACAACTCTAATGTCAAGGACGACGCGGGCACAGGTGGGGTCCGTGTATATTATATGCAGTCATGCTCCATCTGTGCCTCATCGCGCAGACTCTATGGGGAGCGAACCGCGCCCTTCCACTGCGATGCGATATCCCGCCCTCTCCTATCCTAATCATGAGCATGATGCCTTCCTAAGTTCCTATCCAAGGCTCCCCAAGAATCCCCAATCCCAACTAATTCCCCCTCGGACCGCATCCTGGATGAAGCACCCCACGTGCAGGCATTGTGAGATACCTGTGGGACGAGAAGTACCCAGTGCCAATCCCACACTAACACCCAGTTTGTGCGTAGGATTGTTCCCCCCGACATGGGCCCTACCGTCGTCTAAGCTCGCTCTGTGTGGACTCTTGTACGGATGCCGTGGTGATGGGAAACTCACCGGCAGTACCCGGGCTCGACCATGGCACCCCCACAGACTAGTACATACTGACGAGACTGACAGACCGGAGGGTCCCAAGTGGCCACGCACAGGTACCAACAGCTACGACAATTTCTGGTTTTGCCGACAGTTTCCAACGGTTTCTACGTATAGGCAGTCCAGGCAGTAAACCCTCCCCTTGTAATCTACCCTGACTTATCCACCCCCACCCCCCCCCCCCCCCCCCCCCCCCCCCCTCTCCGCAGCCCATGGTGGAGCCAAGATAAGACCCTGATCCTCAGATCCCCTAAGACTAAGCACTCAGGCAGCCCTCGCTATGGCCCTATCCAGCATACTAGAACCATGGACCTAGACCCCTTGGGCGCGGTGCGCAGGCAGTGTCTGTATAAACTTACCATGCGTCGTCCCCAGGGGGGTTGTGCGAATGGCAGTACCGTAACGTCGGTTGTGTCGCGTTCTTAGGAGGTTCAAAAAAAAAAAAAAAAAAAAGGGTGACAGACTTGAGATAACATCCTTGAACTGACTGGCCGGCCCGAGGGCCCCCAGGTAATTCAGGAGTATTTTATTCTGTCCATCAGACTCCATCTGATTGTGACAGTTTTCGAAGGGGCCAACCTTCTTCCCCCGAATACAACGTACGGTCATCATAGCTGTATTTAGACGGAAAGATACCCCAAATACAGCTATAATGACCGTACGTTGTATTCGGGGGAAGACTGTAGCGCGGTTGGTACCACCACTGAACTGTTGAATCGCAGCCCCAAATTCTTAGCAGGTTTCCAGTTTCACTGTTATAGCT